ACTCTTGCTCCGTAACAATGGCGTCCACACATAGAGCTATTATGAACAATTACAGAGGTACCTATGCGCCTGGAGGCATGGTCACCTGGAAAGATTCGCTGATAGCACTCCACGCCACGCCGGGCTGAGCAAACAGGAAGGGGATTTTTAAAATTCCTGGGGAATGTAAAGGGTCGGTCACATGGTTGGTTACCTGAGGCCAGGGCAGTAGAGTTTGAACTGATGACCAGAGTGGCTAGAACAGGCATTGTGGGATACTGTCGAATAATGTTGGAGGCCATTCACAACGCATTGGGTGGCCACACTGGCGCCGCAGCGCTGCACTCGCTATTCCTCTCGGAGAGGTGGAGTACATGCAGCGCTGCAACCAAGGAGATACAGCGCTGCAAATGCCTTGCCAGTGTGGACGGGGAGTGAGTTACAGCGCTGGGGGCGGCTTTACAGCGCTGCAACTCGCAAGTGTAGCCAAGGCTTCAGATTGGAAACACTTTGCAGCAGGGGCAGTCTCTTATTTTGTATTTGTTCAGCTCCCAGCACAACTTGGCCCTGATCTCTATTGAGTCCTCTTGGTACTACAGAGCTAGAAATAATTAGCAAGAACAATCGCAGCCAAGGTTTCACCCCAACACATGATTCATCCAAAACTGTTAACACGTGGAAATAAAAGGTTAAGAGGAAAGACTTTGGGATTCCTTTCCACGCCCGTATTGCCTGTAGGGCTGGGAGTTCCGCACTTCAGCCCTTACGGCTTTCACTTCCGTTTCTAACAACCAAACGCAACATGTACCCAACGTCAGCAAACTTGCACCCTAAAGCAAAACCTTAACAGTGACCACATATGTGTTTCTATCAAGAGCTCAGCATCTCTGACTGTCAAGTGGCCCAGGCACTTGGCAAGTTCCTTTTGCCTTAACACAGCCAGGTGCTTGTTAAGGTTTTGTGGTTGGAGATAGTGACTGGGGGCTTGTCTACACTTGAAAGGCTGCAACGGCACCGGTGTAGCTGTGTCCCTGTAGCTCTTCAGTGTAGACACAACCTATCACCAATGGGCATGGTTCTGCTGTCAACGGAGTTATGACTAGAAAGTTACAAAATACTATGTAGGCAAATACCCCCTCTGTGTAACTGATCTTTGGGCAATTAGCATTTGAGAAGCAACAATGTGGCCAAAGGACAGAGCCCAGAGTGTCTTAGATTTCTTGCGAAATGGGTACGTTTTTCATCAGACCAGGAACAAGTCAAATTATGCTCAAAGTTCATGATCTGGATTTTGGATTTTGCCACTTGAATGAGAATTTTATGAAGTAAAGGTTTAAAACTCCTGTGAAACTGAAAACATCCGACAACTCCGTAACCATAGAGCCACGTATCTCTCTTGTCCTGCTGAACAGATCCTGGGGAGTTTCACTGTCTGTACGCCCAGCCATTGGTCTTTGAACTCACTCCTCACAAGATAACTGCAACTGTTTAATTCCATCAGGCCACCTGTGCCTCATACAGACCCACAGACTCCAGATCCAGGCTGAGTGTGTCCGTAAGTCCTGGAGTTTGTACAGGTCAGATTTGGTTCTAAACCCGGTTACTTCAAATTTTTCCAGGTAGGGATCAAGCAGCTTGGATAAGGACAATGCAGCCCCCCATCCCCACTCCGCCTCATATCCAGGGTTAGTGTTTGGGCGGCTTCTTCACAGCGCTGTACAGGGTTTCCTCAGGGGGCTTGGGTGGGCGTGTTGTCTTGGGGCGCTGCTCCACGTTGGCATAGATGGGCTGCTGGTCAGGAGTGGAAATCGTCACAGTGGCATAAGAAACCTCTTCTGACCCCTGAAATAAAAACCTCATTGATCAGAGGGAAGAAGCTAGAATAGGAGCTGAGCAGCCCCTGGCTTCAGGAACTTCAGCGGGTCCCTTTAACCAAGTGACTTGTCTGGGCTGTGAATCTGTGGACGGGTGCATTACCCCTTTCAGCCAAAGCAGTCTGGGTGCAATCAGGAAGCCCTGTCCTGCGGCTGAGCTATATGAACAGGAAAAGGAAGCCAGGGGGAGAACAGGGAACTGAACCCAACTGCACATTGGCTATCGCAGGCCCTAGGTTGCTAGTCTGACTAAGCTTTATACAGAGTAAAATGGATTTATTTGGGGTTTGGAGCCCATTGGGAACTGGGTGTCTGGGTGCTGGAGACAGGAGCACTTCTTAAGTTGTTTTCTGTTAAGCCTGCAGCTTTTGGGGGATGTGGTTCAGACCCAGGTCTGTGTTTGCAGCAGGCTGGCATGTCCGGCTCAACAAGACAGGGTGCTGGAGTCCCAAGCTGGCAGGGAAACGGACTCAGAGGTAGGCTCAGCACATCAGGTGGCAGTTCCAAGGGGGTCTCTGTGACCTAACCTGTCACACTCCCCTCCCCCGCACCTGTGATATTACACCTCCCTAGGACAGCATTTAAGAGGTGATGTTACCAGGACATATAATTTGCCTTACCAAATTTGACAGGTTGATGTTCTTGTCCCTCTGCACAGATGCTCCTGAAAGCTCTGGATGAGACAGAAAAGAGATCGAATTAGAGCCAAGTTACCGCAGTGGGTAAGGGGGTAACTGCGGCTCTCACAGCTTTGCAGTTGTAAGTTGCAGGGCTGACCTGTAACTGTTTTTCAGGGGACACACACACACTGAGCTCAGAAGACCTGAAATGTATGAAAACTGCAGTGCCACAGTAAATCCGGCCCATTGAGTCTAGGTTAACTCCGTGCTGCCCTGCCACTGATCCAAAAGGCAATGGGTCTGTTCTCTAGGTGCTAACTGAGATCCGGCCAACTGCACCAGTCAGTGACCGCTTTCCAACACCTGCACAATACAGCCCTCTGACCCAAACTCCAGCTTCTCTTTAGACTCAGTGCAGACCTAGCCTACTGAACCAAACCGAACAGGGGCAAGTCAGCATAAATCCATCCAACCAATTCAACCAAACTTGAAAAGATCCTTTGGTGCTAGGAAAAGCTCCGACATGAAAATGGTCTCTTCTACAGGAATGGTCCCAAACGCCACAGCTGATAACAGCTGCGCTCCATTGTCTGAGGCAATCACCGGAGAGTGCGGTAATGTTTTTAGTAACAGCTGATCCTGTGGAACTGACTGACCCTGAAATGATCCATCGCTATCCACACACCGCCAGATCCTGGACTGATCAGAGCTCACCTGAGCTCTCAAGCCAGGCTCCCACGCAGTGACACAGTGAGTGAAAAGGAAGGAGACCTTGGTGTTTAGGGTCAGACTCAGATACCCTTACTTAGGGTAGCACCTTTACTCCACAGGGAGTCCCACTGATTTCAGTGATGGAGTAAGCAGCTACACAGCATGAGGGGTGTGTGTGAATATGCAGTGTAGAGCTGTACAAATAACGGATAGGGGAACTGGCAACTTCAAAACATTGAAATCACTTTTTGTTTAAGGTTAAATGAAATGTTTTGTTTAGATAAAATTGAAATGTTTCTCTTCAGTTTTGACTATTTTCAACATTTGATTGGTTTTTACACAATTTTTGAAAGAAGAATTTGTTTCAAATTGAAAAACCCAAATATTGGTGTTGCTGAGTCTGCATTTCTCTCTGAAAAATAGTTTGGGTGGTAAAACTCTGCCCAGCTCCAGCCGAGATGTAGAACAAACACCATAACCAGAGTTCTTTGCAGCTTTGGACAATGTTGCCCGTGGGGCTCTCATACATTTCAGACATGCTCTGTCGAGCTCAGCAGGGTGTAATAAGCAGAGAAGTCACTAAGGCCTGGTCCACACGGGGGGGGGGAGGGGGAGGAGT